TTTTTAGGAAATATTGTTTGATTATTTATTTCTCAAAATAACTTTAGTAACAAAGTGGAAGGTTGGGTTTACAGAATGCAGTCAGCACTAATGAGATACTTTGTCTTGTTCCTGTCATGCTGAAGAAAGGGCCCCAAATAATGTCAGAATTTTCACAAATTTGTTTTCCTCAAAATAAAAGGTCACTGAAAGAATATCTACTATAATTTAATAAAATATTTGTTTCTTGCAAAATGACTACCAGCTTTGTAAGAACCAATGGCGTGGTAACATCATTCCTTGATCAACTGCACCACTAAGTGGCCCTTGTGTGAAGTTTGAATTTCTTATTGTATATAAACTTCTTAGACTTGTATTAGACAGTACATTAAATTATAGTTTTTCTTGTTTAACATACTATAACTGATTCACTTTCACAAACCATTCATTCTTGACAAAATTCTACACAAAAATAGAGCAGAATGACTGTCTAGGGGTGAAAGTCTTTTGTCAGAAGACTGAGAAAATGTTATATTACGGCAAATAAGGTCATTAACAAAACTGCAAAGCAAGTTGGCAGAGGATGCTGATTTTTTAATTTTTTTATTTTTACAGTACAGTAATTAACAGTATACTGAATTGTGTGTTCATATTCAATTCTTTGGTATTCTAACTTTTCTAGTGCTTTTCATATTTAAGTTAAGAAATATGTTGTCAGAACAACAACAACAACAACAAAAAGATGAGATGATACAAAATTGCATAACTACCACAAAAATGTAGCTGAATGAATAGGATGTTCCCACAAACAATACAATATATGTACATGGTTGTGTGTGTGTGTGTGTCTGTTAATATTATTCATCAATACATGCAACAACACACAGACATACATTTCATAGTCAATAAGTTTGATGGTAATACTTTACAATAACTTTCATTAATAAATCATTAACAAACGTTATATAATGTTTAACGGATCATTAGTTAATATTTATTCACATATCTACAAACGTGAAATAATGTGCTTGTTATTGTTTACTAATAAATGTATTAAACATTACCTAATAATTAACATTTCATGTAAATTAAAATGCTTACAAATGTCATTCAACTTCTAATCACGATTCAATCTGTTTATATTGCATTGTTTTGATAAATGATAAATTAAGTATTTTCTTGAAAATTAGTCCCCCCACCCCCCCTCCTGTTAATATATGATTCAAGGAATATTCTGTTTAATGGTTCACAATAGTATATTAATATATGTGTTGAGGCAATAAAAGCATGTGTTGCAGCCAAATTACAATGTGTGTAATGTCTCTACCAAGCATTTAACTAAACTTAACTAACCACCCTTTACACAAACGGGTGTACTTGTTACAGTAGCTAAAAGTCCAGTGTCAAAGATACAAAAAAATTAGTAAATGTTTACAAATGATGAATAGTCTCAACTTTAGATTGGGTACTGCAAAAACATGAACAAATGATTAATAAATGATTTAAGATGTGCAAATAGTTGAAGTCTACACAACAAACAAAGACCAAATATATGACCTTTACAGACTGTGATTATGAGTTAATGAATATATTAACATGAATAGTTTATAATTAATATAATTATTAATATTAACCTAATTATTAATGAATAAAAAAATGAATAATTAAACTATATTTTTATGACATTTGTAAATGTAATAATGAGCATTAGCTAATATGTGAACTGAAGTTTAATGACACTTGTAAGCATTCAACAGTACATTAACAAATGTTTGTTCAAACTTTGTTCATTGTGTAATTTCTGGTAAAATCTTTTGTAGATTTTTAAAATGCACTGGAAGTTTAATGACATTTGTAAACATTAACTAATGATCAGTTAAGCATTATATAATGCTTGTTAATGATTTATTAATGAAGCTTTTAATCATTGTAAACCATCTGTCAAAATCATGTGAAATGTTTTTTTTTTTTAAATGCATGATCATATGAATTGAATGTTTAATGACATTTCTAAGCTTTTCAATTTACATTAATTAGTGATCTGTTAATCATTTGGTAATGTTTAATAAGTTCATTAGTTAACATTAACAAGGACATTATCTCATATTTCTACATTTGTGAATATATATTAAGTAATGATTAGTTAAACATTATATAATGTTTGTTAATGATTTATTAATGAAAGTTATTATAAAGTGTTACCAGTTAGATTTATTTTTACTTTTGCTTAAACATTCTTGAACAGTTATTGTTAAAATATAATTGTACCTCAGTTACAACAATTATGTATGTGCACTTAAAAAATCTGAAAAAGAGAAACAATTGTAATTTTTTTTTTTTTACAAAATTAAAACGTGGTGCAAACAACATCTGGAATTAAATACTAGAACATTCCCAAGTCATTGTTTAGTCATTATTTATTTTGTGTATCATCTAAAGAAACAACCAATTAAATAATAAATCAATAATTGTACAGATCACCAATATGACTAATTCAGGTTCTGAAAATGAGACAATACTCACAACTTTTGTCAATCTGTAGATTCCCTTTGGAGCACGACATGTCCACATATTTCATCTCACTTCCAGTATTCCATCCATCTCTACAGTTAAGTCTATACCAGAGGAGTCAAACTCAGTTCCTGGAGGGCTGGAGCCCTGCAGAGTTTAGATTCAACCCTAATTAAATGCACCCGATCCAGCTAATCAAGTCCTTCAGGCTTATTTGAAAACTACATGTGTGTTGGAGCAGGGTTCCCTGTTGAAAAAAAGCCCAAACAAAAAACAAACAAAAAAACAGCATGTGCTGGTTAGGTATGTTTTGAAGCATGGCTGCTGGTTTGAGTTGGTTTAAACTGGTCTTTAGCTGGTCATGAGCTGTCATGTGCTGGTCCTAAGCTGGCCCCGAGCAGGAGCTAGTTGCTTAGGATCAGCTCATGACCAGCTAAGGACCAGCTTAAACCAGCTCAAAAAATCTCAAACCAATAGCCATGTTTCAAAACATACCTAACCAGCATATGCTGGATTTTTCAACAGAGTTGGAACTAAACTCTGCAGGGCTGCAGCCCTCCAGGAACTGAGTTTGATACACTTGGTACTTTTCAGCATGCCTTATGTAGACCTTTTCTTTAGGAAGCTGTAGATTGTACTTCTCGACAGTATCATCAATTTCACAAGGTCCTACGACAGAGACATAAACATAACGATAAAAGCAGTACAAAACTATTATGAATTAAAATTACAAAAATGACTCACTCAGACATTTCGGAAGAGTTTCCCATTTTCCATCCACACACTTATAATACACTGTCTTGTCTTTATCCAAAAAAATAAAAAATAAAATCAAGCTGTACATACCAGAGCATTGTTGTATGTTTGTCTATCGGCCATGGGAATTACAGGAGATTTGTACAGGCTCCTCTGGTTCACATCCAGGACGACACTTTGGTATTCTTGAATTGATTTTGTACTTTAGTTTCTGACCTCCCGCAATCTCTGTATTTCGGATTTTTGGTGGGTCACACATCATTTCTTAAAAAAAACAAAAAAAAAAACATCAACATAATCATATAATTGACATTTTGTCAGTAGCAACGATTTTAATACTCCACAGAAGAACATACCAGCACACAAGTGGTTTTGGTGTCCATCCGTCTCGTGTGCATGTGGCCTCTGCTGCTGTTTCACGATATCCAGACTCACAACTGTACGATCTCTTTGCTCCTAATTTCATATCTCCATTGAAGGAATATTCCGGGCCACTCACATGCTGGTCACGTGGAACTTCACATGTAATCTCTGAAATACGATTCACATTCTTTTGGTAATATACAATGACTTCAGCACCAAGTCTTGAAGTGTTTCTCTTTAATCTTACCACAAACAGGTTTACTGTCCCACTTTCCATTAATTTGGCATGTAAATGATTTGCTTTTTTTTTTTTTGTAAAAAATTGTTTTTCAGAGCAGATGATCTCCACGCTTTCTCCAACTTTGAAAACAGTTTTCCCCTCTAGGTTAATCCTTTTTACTCCAAATATGGTTGACTCAAACTGACAAGTTACTTCTGTACAAGTAAAGGCCTGTTCACACCAACACAAATGTTTGTCATGAAAATTCTGTTTGATTATCTCATACGATTTGAGTTCAGAGTCAGATCAATGTGTAAACAGTAGGCTGGATGAAAATGCTATTTCACAATCTGACAGTAGGTGGCGCTTACAGAGAAGCAGAAATACCCTGGTACACAACTTTCTGTTTCTGACACTCGCTTGTCATGGAGAAGGGAATGAGAAGTCAAACTATACATAACGGAGGTATTTTTTTTTCTTTAAGGGACTTTTATTTTGATGGGTTTCCCTGTTTTCGGAATGTGTAAACAGAAGGCTGGATGAAAATGCTATTTCACAATCTGACAGTAGGTGGCGCTTACAGAGAAGCAGAAATACCCTGGTACACAACTTTCTGTTTCTGACACTCGCTTGTCATGGAGAAGGGAATGAGAAGTCAAACTATACATAACGGAGGTATTTTTTTTTCTTTAAGGGACTTTTATTTTGATGGGTTTCCCTGTTTTCGGTATTCGTGGGAGATGCAAAGATGTATGGGAAGAAGAAGGGAGAACAGTCAAAGCCACTAGAAGGCAAGCCTGCAAGTGAATGTGATTGAGTGTCGCACACTCTGACTGAAATTCAGTGACGTCAAGGCTGTAATGTGATTGGTTATTCATGTGATCCAAGTTGACCGTTACGCTTTCTCCAATAGTAAATAATACAGACCCTCTCATCTCCCTATAGTAAGACAATCTCTGGAACAGTGTTACGAGAGAGACATGCCATGACCGCTGTGTTAGAGGTCGACAGTTTTTGCAGTGGGAGACTTGACAGAAGTGATACACAGCCCATTTGTGTTTTGTGAGTTAAGTGAACACTAACGCTATCATGTGGGACTAGAGGTGTAAGTTGTAGCAGAAATTTGGCTGATTGCGTCATCGAATGGAGAACGGTGTGTGAGACTGGCTGAGAGCAAGGGAGAGAGTTGCTGGAGCTGTGAGTTTCGTTCTGAACAGAGGTGTAAATTATTTGAGTTAATGTAATTAATTACGGTATTTGAGTATCTTTTCGGATACTCTGTAGTTTTACTGAGTATAAAAGATATTAGCAACTTTTACTCTCTACTTCACAACATTTTTGAATAAGCATCTGTACTCTTTACTCCACTACATTTGTAATGAGTGTTGCAATTACACATTACATTTTGCATGGCACCTAGCTTTTCCTTCAGGAGTTTTTTTCTTCTACAAAAGAAGGAATATTGCCAACTACAGGGCACTGAAAGTCAGTGGCGGCTCGTGGGTTTTAAAATAGAGGAGGCACACTAATTGTATTGGTCTGGGATCCCTGCCGATTATTATTATTATAATTTGCTTAACCACTTTAAAATGGCTTTTTGGTTGCTTTTAGTCAGAAAACGTAAAGAAAACGACATACATACAGCAAGATGTGTTAAAAGAGAGCTGCCTGTTGCACCATTTAATTAAGCCGACCGCTGTAGCCTATATCCAGCTTAGGCTGTTTTCCCTAAATTTGTATATATACTGTTTGAATGACAGCTTGGTAAATCTGTTGGCGATCAAATATTCAATATCGCTACTCATCATAAGTACTTGGTACATTATCAGCGCAGTGGCATATGTTTAAACTAATATCACGTAATTTACGTCTCTTTGATGATTGGTTGATATCAGAAGGGAGGCTAGCCTCCCCAGCGAGGGTTCTTTTCGCAATACTCCTCAGCGCTGAAAGTGAACACTCGATGGTGATTGGCAAATTTTTGTTACCAACGGAGGCACGAGAGCTCACCTCTCCCCCGGCCTCCCCCTACCCTTCTCTATCATTAGCGGTTGCAATTACATCAGCAGATTCGGCACATTCGCGATAGAAAAGCGGCGCTTTCACGTAATGGTATTACAACTGGGAAATTACAAACAAAATATACACATTCTGAGACATGAACTGAAATGAATTGTGAATTGTATTAACATTAAATCGTCCTCCTCCCATTTTCACCTCAAAATTATGGGGAAGCTGTGCCTCCCCTGCCTCCCCCGACGAGCCGCCACTGCTGAAAGTATAATATCTTGTGTTTTGCCCTTACTCACCCAAACTGGTCAACGAGGCTACTTTACGTGAATGCGAGTTCTCTAGCAAGCAAGCAGTTGTGAATCACAGGTGCCTGATGAGGACATGACTGCAGCCGGCAATGAGGCCGAAATCCAGTGCAAGAAGGCTTTTGCTTTTTAATTTTACTTAACATTATTTTATTTATCTGTTATACTGAAGAGCCCTTTTTGAAAGATGTTTTTTTTTTTTTTTTTGAGGTGTTCAGTTTTACTTATAACATAGTGATTGCCCTCCTCACAAATCAACTCTTGTTTTTTACTGGCATGTCTCTTTGATTATAGTGCATCTTTGAGCCTATATTTAGTATAAGTAAAATAGTTAAGTATTATTAAAATCAGATACTCTAAGACTTTTACTCAAGTTGTTTTGGAATTGGTGAGTTTTAATTGTAATGGAGTAAAACCGGTAGTCTAGAAATAGGGCGATAATTATTCAAATCAGAGGGATCTCCCCCCTTTAATAGAGGCATAACTATACCTGATTTCCAAGACGGCAGAATAACACTAGTTGATAAACTCAGATTAAAAATCGATGCATTAGGTTCGGCAATCTGCAGAAACTTTTAAAAAACTGGACCAATTTTGTCAGAGCCAGCAGATTTCCTACAATCTAAGTTTGACAGTAATTTATGAACTTGGGTGGACAATATAGGGGTAAATAACTTTTACGTTTTACTAAAATGTATCAACTCATCATTTCCCGGTTCATCAATATCCAATAAATTACTGGTGTCTGTTATTGAATTGGCAGAAATAAAATGACTATGGCCACGTTCACACAGCAGCAGAATACGGTTGTCAGTCCTGTATTTGAGTCCTTAATACGGTTACGTTTACACACAGTACGGTTATTTTCAGGCGTGACAACCGCATTCTGTAACCGGACTCACACCCGTAAATTTTCAGGACTCACAACCGCATTCTCGGAGAACATACGCTGTGTGAATGGAACAGTACTGGACAACTAGTTGTCTGTCACTCATACAGTGCAAGAGAGAGCCGCTCTGCTGCACAAGTGTGCGACTCAAATGCTCTGCTCTCCACCCAAATATATAAGCTGCTGTAGGTTAATGAATATTTGACGGATGAACTTGCAGCTCGATTGCACTCTTGTCGTGTCAGAAAAGACTTTCAGTTTTATGGATGTCGTCATCTTTGATATTATATTTGGTCACTGTTGCTATGGTTACTGATAAGGAATACAGGTTTGACTCCCAATGCATTCATACAGACAGTATTCGAGAAGCTACTGTAAGTTGCTGTGTGAATGGAATATTTCGAGACTCACACCTGTAAGTAAATGCAGTTGTCAATCCCAAAAACTGACAGTGTGAACGCAGCCTGTTAAATATATTAACAATATTAACCTAGTCAGTAATTAATCTTTGGTTTAATTTTAAAGATTTTGGAAGACCAGTAAATTTATTTGATCCTATATGAGATTTTGGTAATTTCCAAAATTTAGAAGGATCATTCATATTATCATTAATCAGATTAAGATAATACTGATTTGTAGAACTTTTTTTAGCCATTTTGTTCCGTAAAAATCTATAATGAGACCAGTCATTATCACTATTAGTTTTCTTTGCTGTGGACAAAGCCATATTTCTTTGCCTAAGAAAGTTTGAGACAGAATTGTTGAACCAGGAATATTTTTTCAACTCACCTCAAATCTATGTAAAGGAGCATGTTTATCACAAATTTTTCTCCCAAAAAAAGTAGATATAAAATAATCCCAAGCTAAAACCACATCAGGTATATTTGAAATTACCCGTAAATCACTATTATACTCATTGTGCAAGAAAGCTTGTACATTAAATTACAAAATACACTTTGTACAATTTTTAAATTGTCATTTATATGTACATCTGGGTGAACTCTTAAGCATCTTAAAATTTCTCCCACAAGATATTGCACAATGATCACTAATATCATTACAAAAAAATTCCGGTTGCAGAAAAAACATGGGGTACATTCGTTAAAATAACAAATTTATGAACTGTGCCATGAGCCGAGAGACATTGATTTCTTCCTGCGCATCATTTAAGTGCACTTGTTAGTGCGCGAGAATGCGTATATAAACTGGAAGTTAGTTTTGCACGAAGTGTTTAATTTTTTTCTAAGTATTTTGGCCTTTTTTTTTGAAGAGATTGACAATCGCCGACGATCAGTTTTACTCTTGGAAATAACTTTTCTTTTGAGACAAGAGTCTCGCTGTGGCTGAGCTGCACCATTTTGTTCCAGAAAGTTCCTGAGTTTTCCTGGGCCAAGCTGAGTTTTTGCTTTTGTTTTTATTATTACCCTGCCACCCTGATGACATCTCCTCACTGTCCTGTCCCAGCTGTTCATTTCATTGTTGCAAGTCGTCACAAATCGTTGCAAGTCAAACCATCAAATTGATCGTTGCTACAGACTGGTACAAACGTTCTTTACACACACACACACACACACACACACACACACACACACACACACACACCGTGACACGAGTCCCCATGAGTCTGTGTGTATTCAGGTTTAAGTCCCCACCAGA